TCCCAAATTCTTCTCCGGGAACACAGACGTCATGACCTTCCCACAGAGGGTGAAAAACAACATCATGGCTCTGGTGGAGTTCTATTTGTGTCGTGTCATGTATGCCAAATTTGATGAGCTGGTTAGCGAGTATGTGGAGGAAAGCATGACCTACAAGAATTTGTTGAGCCACGGAGATATTTGGCTCGTGAGATCTAACTTTGTTTTTGACTGGCCCAAACCTGTGATGCCCAACATGGTTTTCATTGGCGGCATCAACTGCGAAAAGCAGCGACCTCTGCCTGCAGTGAGTATTCAAACTCCTTAAGCCATCGTCGTGGCACATCTGGATTCGCTCAAGGGAAATTATGGATACTACAACAGCACGTGCTTCCTCTTTACAACATCAGGCTTAGACCTTCGGTGGTGGCCAGTTAGTCCCAGCATACAAGGCTCTCTCTCTTTATGGCCGAAATGCAATCAAAATCACTGTCATACATTTACTATCTAAAATTCTAATACTTGTTCCATCAAATTGTCTTGTATTGTAACAATCTGTGTTAGATTTTTTTTTTTTTGGTCCAATCAAATTTCAGCCATGTCAATCTATTCTGCCCAGAGACATCAGAATCAGTTGTGCTAGCAAATGTGATGTAAACTACCCTAGATTAGGAATGTAACTGGCTCTTTAACCACTCAGATTTCAAATTCGTCCTCATGGGGCCAAAGCACTTGCCATCAATCATGTCAGCTTCACATCCTTTGATTGATTAGTCAGAGCAAAACTTCTTCCAGTCAAGTTCGACTAGCAAGTCCGTAGCAATCTGCACACATCAATACATTTAATTCTCAGTATCTGTGGTGTAGGCGTCGACTGGTACATGGTGTCCTTGATATTTTTTTCAGCATAGTACAATTCTGTCTCTTTAGAGTATGAAAAGAAGACAAGTGGTTGGACGAATGGTATTTGTCTGCACCACCAAACGTTCCAAAGTTCCATCTATACTGCGGTCCCAGCCCCTGACGCTCACATCCAATCACAAATCTAACATCAGGGGTGTTAGGGCCTTTTCAGATTCTGGTTTTGCTTCGGAACTTTCTGTTGACTGTGTTGTATTTTAAGGTTTTCTATAATGTAAATAGTTTCGGAATTTTACAACATTTTGGGTGGTCACAGGCCCTGTAACCCCACAAGAAAATATCTACACTGCACTAAACAGCATCTGAATTCCATCTCTATATTCAGAAACCAGAACAGGAGCAATCTGTGGTAGGATGACCATTTTGAAAGCAATTACTTGGCAATCATTCCTGTGCTCGTTTCACAATTTGGAACTTGACACAGATCAGAAAGTGGAGGAAGCAATTTTTGCTTGAAAGAATTAATAATCTTTACTCATCACAGCGTTATGAAGACAAATCTTACTAGTTTAGTTTTAAATAGTTAATTTGCATCTTTACATTTTTTACAAAAGCTCTACAGTATCAAAAGCAATTTGATTTTTAACAAGTGTCATTTTTAGTATATGTTGCTAGCCACTTAAAAATGGACAGCGGGCCATAAATGGCCCCTGAGCCATATTTTGGACACCTAATGTAAACTGTCAATATAAGCAGTGAGAGTCACTTTAAATTCACTTCACTTACTGTCACAATTTTATGAAAAATGAAATAAGTATCAAGTTACGTGCACCTTCTATCAAGATCAGGAAAACAGTTCTTTGACCAGTGCCTGAGCCCAACCACAACACTTAATCGCAACTCTTTGAGTAGTTAATCAAATCACAGCTCACCATTCGAATACCAACAGTAAGGATTATTAGGGATAAAGGGATTACTTTTATAATCTTGTTTGAATGTTTATCAGATAAAATGCTGTTAAAAAACCTTTTTTTTTCCCAGCTGTCTTGCAATGTGTATGAAAAGTACCCATCTGGACCATGCCCAGTGTTGACAGGGATTCCGAGTGGCTATACACCGAATAGAATCCGCAGTGTCGAAACAGTACTGCTGACTACTTTTAATTAGTTGATATTGAACCCGAAATATTGAAGCATGTTTGGAAAACACATTTGTTCTACGTCCAGTGTGCTGACAATAATGCCTTGTTTGGTCCTGGCAGGATTTGGAGGAGTTTGTGGAAGGTTCGGGGAAGCATGGCTTTATCGTCTTTACCCTGGGCTCCATGGTGTCCTCTATGCCGGAGGAAAAAGCACAACAATTCCTTGATGCTTTTCGGCAGATTCCACAGAGGGTAATGGCACCAATTACACAATAAATGACATTTTCACACTACAGATTACGTTTTCACACTACATACAGTACTACATAATGATCCGATTTTTCATGCAGTGAAGTGTGTGTGTGTGTGTGTGTGTGTGTGTGTGTGTGTGTGTGTGTGTGTGTTTTTCAGGTTTTGTGGAGATACACTGGAGTTGAACTGAAAAATGTTCCCAAAAATGTCAAACTGATGAAGTGGCTACCTCAGAATGATCTTTTAGGTAGGTGTGGTTTTATGGCCAAAATTATGCAGACTTTCATAGTTAAATTAACTTAAGTAATGTAAAAGTAAACCAGTAGATTTAAGTAAAGTTAAATGAAATAAATCTAAGTTAATTTAATGACCCCATGATTGAATCATTTTTTTTCAAGTGACATTTTAATGTCCACCCTTGGTTTTTATTTCTAATTCATCTTTACATCTTTCTTCATCATCTGCACTTGACAAGCGGCCTGCAACACCCCATTTTTTTCAGCGTGTGTTTGTAAAGTATATTGAACTTAACAGTCTACATATGTGATATGGTTGTAATAGCTGTTAATAATAGGTTTCTTTCTGGTTGAGTCCATTATACTACAATGGTGCCTTGAGCTATGAGGTTACCGGTAATTAGAAATGACCATCCTCCAAAATTGTACTTTCTATTAAAAATAATAATAATATCTATCTATCTATATACACAGCAGTGACATAATTAAATAGAATGTAAAGAAATGTGTTATTTTTTGCCTTTCTTTTGGTTCTTAAATTCAATGGACATTAAGAATAAGAAGAATAAGAAAACCTTTATTCGTCTCACAATGGAGAAATTCCCAATTTACAGCAGCAAAACTATGAAAGGAAGAAGTAGAAGAACAAAAAGTATAGGAGCTGCTGTAAAGGCAGCCAATCTCGCGGTGCCATCGACGAATGACATTGTGTTGCTCTTGCTCTTCTGGTGTCTGCATCCTTGGCACCTGGGGGCAGAATAATACAGACATACGGAAATACAATACTGTACATGCAGACGGCCTCAGCTCCTCAGTAAAGCATTACTGTTCGTCTTTTTTCATGGAGGATAAATAATATATGCTTTGAAAATTGCAACAAGCAGTTTAATTGGACAGTACATATCCACTAAGATTGGCAACTTGGTGCCGCTTTTTATTTTTTCCCTTCGCATGTTTTTATGGCTCCTTTATTCAAGTCACTATACCTTCCCCTTCCTTTCGCATCAATGGATTTCTCAGCCACTCTGATATCATTACCACTCAGGCTGTTTTGTGGCTATTTTGCCATTGTAAAAAGCCATTTAAAATCCATATTGGTATGAAAATTACTAAATACAGATCGATCGATTGCTCTAACATGATGATATGATTGACTAGATCTTCTCCTCGAACTCAAACCGTTTTGTTTCTCATTTACTCCTCAGCTCACCCCAAGGCAAAATTGTTCCTCACTCATGGAGGCAGCCATGGTGTCTATGAAGGCCTCTGCAACGCCGTTCCCATGCTCATGCTTCCACTGTTTGGGGACCAGGCGGACAACGCTCTCCGCATGGTGTCGCGTGGCATTGCGGAGAAGCTCACCGTCTACGACCTGACCACAGACAAACTGCTGGTCGCTCTGAATAACATTATTAACAACAAAAGGTGAGGCCACTCTGATGTGTATGAGTAACCCAACTTTTAGTGGCTTTGTGTGTCCACCAGACACTCTGACGTGTGGAGATGTGTTCACAAAAGTACTTGTGATGTCAACATGGTGCAAAAACAGCTGTACAATGTGCAGTTTAACCAAAATTGAAAACACACACTCCTCCTGACCACAGACAAACTGCTGGTCGCTCTGAATAACATTATTAACAACAAAAGGTGAGGCCACTCTGATGTGTATGAGTAACCCAACTTTTAGTGGCTTTGTGTGTCCACCAGACACTCTGACGTGTGGAGATGTGTTCACAAAAGTACTTGTGATGTCAACATGGTGCAAAAACAGCTGTACAATGTGCAGTTTAACCAAAATTGAAAACACACACTCCTGTCAACAAACTCTAGTCCAGATAAGGCTTTCGAGCTTTGATGTACCGCTGTGCATCCGTTAACCCCGCTGCACACTGACTCAACAGTCATTCTTGCGTGTGAACGGCGCTGGAACGTCGCATATGTAATAGACTACCCCACAAAAAATACAAATAACTGTATTTTGAGTTTCATATGTACATATGTGGCTAAAAAGCGAATCATGGAGAGTCTCTGTTGCCGAACTAAATGAGCACAGTCATGTTTAGCCAGATCGCTCAGTGTGTATGTTGGGATGACAAACATCCAAACATTGTTTCCTGTAATACAGTGGTGAATGCAGTTTTCCATTCCTAATTTTCGCAAGTGTCCAACACTGCTATATTCATCATTACAATACGCATTGACTATGAGCTGATGTGTAATTTCCTCTTGTGCAGTTATAAAGACAAGATGGTGAAGTTGTCTGCGATACACCGGGACCACCCCATTCAACCTTTGGACCTGGCAGTTTTCTGGACCGAGTTTGTCATGAGACACAAAGGAGCTGCCCATCTACGTGTAGCAGCACACAATTTGAACTGGTTTCAATATCACAGCCTGGATGTCATTGGCTTCCTGTTGATTGTGGTTTTAACTGCACTTTGGTTGACTCTCAAATGCTGCTTGTTCTGCACCCACAAGCTTTGCAGAAAGGTTATGGTGAAAAGGAAAGTAGAGTAAACACTCTGAGTTTAATGTTAAGTCTGGAATAATTTTAGTGGTGCGTGTGGATCGACAACATTTTAAAATGATCTCGAAAGAATGCACTGTCGCAATTTTTGACTAAAGGGTGAAGCTTAATCTGCTTTTGTATACATTTCTTTTACTGAACAGCTTCTATTGTCACCTGTAGAAAAGACTGATCTTTTGTTTCTCATTTACTCCTCAGCTCACCCCAAGGCAAAATTGTTCCTCACTCATGGAGGCAGCCATGGTGTCTATGAAGGCCTCTGCAACGCCGTTCCCATGCTCATGCTTCCACTGTTTGGGGACCAGGCGGACAACGCTCTCCGCATGGTGTCGCGTGGCATTGCGGAGAAGCTCACCGTCTACGACCTGACCACAGACAAACTGCTGGTCGCTCTGAATAACATTATTAACAACAAAAGGTGAGGCCACTCTGATGTGTATGAGTAACCCAACTTTTAGTGGCTTTGTGTGTCCACCAGACACTCTGACGTGTGGAGATGTGTTCACAAAAGTACTTGTGATGTCAACATGGTGCAAAAACAGCTGTACAATGTGCAGTTTAACCAAAATTGAAAACACACACTCCATATACTGTGTATATGTATGTATATATATATTAATTTGACTGTCAACAAACTCGAGTCCAGATAAGGCTTTCGAGCTTTGATGTACCGCTGTGCATCCGTTAACCCCGCTGCACACTGACTCAACAGTCATACTTGCGTGTGAACGGCGCTGGAACGTCGCATATGTAATAGACTACCCCGCAAAAAATATAAATAACTGTATTTTGAGTTTCATATGTACATATGTGGCTAAAAAGCGAATCATGGAGAGTCTCTGTTGCCGAACTAAATGAGCACAGTCATGTTTAGCCAGATCGCTCACAGTGTGTATGTTGGGATGACAAACATCCAAACATTGTTTCCTGTAATACAGTGGTGAATGCAGTTTTCCATTCCTAATTTTCGCAAGTGTCCAACACTGCTATATTCATCATTACAATACGCATTGACTATGAGCTGATGTGTAATTTCCTCTTGTGCAGTTATAAAGACAAGATGGTGAAGTTGTCTGCGATACACCGGGACCACCCCATTCAACCTTTGGACCTGGCAGTTTTCTGGACCGAGTTTGTCATGAGACACAAAGGAGCTGCCCATCTACGTGTAGCAGCACACAATTTGAACTGGTTTCAATATCACAGCCTGGATGTCATTGGCTTCCTGTTGATTGTGGTTTTAACTGCACTTTGGTTGACTCTCAAATGCTGCTTGTTCTGCACCCACAAGCTTTGCAGAAAGGTTATGGTGAAAAGGAAAGTAGAGTAAACACTCTGAGTTTAATGTTAAGTCTGGAATAATTTTAGTGGTGCGTGTGGATCGACAACATTTTAAAATGATCTCGAAAGAATGCACTGTCGCAATTTTTGACTAAAGGGTGAAGCTTAATCTGCTTTTGTATACATTTCTTTTACTGAACAGCTTCTATTGTCACCTGTAGAAAAGACTGATCATAAAAATCAATGATGGGCTCAATTCCTCAACTGAAAGTGTGACACTTAAAACAAAAACAAAAGACAGTAAATAAAGTCACTCTCTTGTTGGAGCTAATGACCAACTTCCATCACTCCTTTGTACTTTATAAATAAGAAGTAGAAATATGGAAAATGGCTCGATTGGTTTGATAAAGATGTCAACTGCACCAATCTAATCTGTAATGTTAACATGAATTCAAAAATTAATTCCATTTGCAGGACATACATGTTAACGTAGGTTTGAGATGTGTCGTAAAGCGAATCTTGTGACCATAACTGGCTATTAGGCAAATGAGAAGAAGGCAAACTGCAAATTAGACTCTGGCCTTAAATTAAATTGTCATATAAACTAAAATATGATTATACACTGAAACATTTTAGGTCTCAAAAATGAAATAAATACATGAACTTACAAGCTTTTTGATAATTAAGCATCAAGGTGTCTCAGTGTTTTTAATGCACCATCGTTTCTTGGAAAGGTAATGAAAATGCATTTTAAACAACTATTGACATGAGTTAAATCCTAGTTGTGCAGTATGGCGTAAAAAAAATGGCATCATCTCACACTGTGTAAGCACCTCCCATTATTTTGCTTTATGTGGGGGTGGGGGTGGGGGGGTTAATGACTTAGGGGGTCTATCTTTGGATATGAGTTTAATCATTCAGTGTTCCACCTGCACAGCAATCATGATGAATGTTTACTGCATCATATTTGTCCTTCAGCTGTTCTCCTGGTTTTCAGGTAAGATTAAATTAATGTATGTACATAGTCATGAAGTTACATTTACTGAAGTACAAATACATGAAGAAAAAAAAATCTGTCAGTTTCATCCTCTTTTTTTTTTTTTTTTTTTCACATCAGCGGCATCAGGGAGCAGTATAGTGGGCGGTAAGGTTTCACGGCCTCATTCCAGACCCTACATGGCATCACTGCATTCCCACGGAGCCTACAAATGTGGCGGGATGCTAATTCGCAAAGACTTTGTTTTGACTGCGGCCCACTGCTTGTGAGTTTGTAGACTGGTACCACTTCATCTATTCTGCAATGTTTTCAACCAGGCATTGTTTTCCCCACATCCAAATATAAAGTGAAATATGGAGTTTGATTTTGATGTTTCTCCACACATTCACTTGTTTTACTTTGGTTTGTGGGAGGAAGCTAAGAGCATGTCGAAACTATATTGAAACAAGGTAAGCACGAAAAGAAAACCTACAACTTTCATCCTGTTTATTTGAAATGTTTCTTTGTTCCTTTGATTGTCAGCAATGAGCCAATGACAGTCATACTCGGGGCACACAACATACGCAAGCGGGAGAAAAGCCAGCAACGTATTGACGTGGACGAGTTCCATCGTCATCCAAATTACACTGGAGAGTACAGCAACGACGTGATGCTACTTAAGGTAAAAACGAACAAGTCATGTTAAAATGTCAAACATCATTTAAATCACATCGAAAGCAGTGCTATGCACTATGTGAATGTGTGATGTGAGGGCTCCCACTGTTGGTACTCAAAAGACTCACTGAATCAAATGTTCAAATTCTGCCGGTTACATTTACTGTGACATTTTTTTAAATACAATACAGCTGCATTTAATCTTTTGGCACTGCTAGATTGTTAAACTATAATTTAAGTACAATTGTTATTTAACTCATGTTATAGGTCAATGTGTCAAACTCAAGAGTCGGGGGCCAGAGCCGGCCCACTGCATTATTTTATGTGGCCCGCCGAAGCAAATTATGTGCATTGACTACATGTTTCTTCATCTTAAAATGACAAAAATGCTACTTGTCTTCACATATGTGTAAAAACGTTGAGATATTGCAAGTATTTTTTTTGTTAGCAATCCCTCTACTATGTGGCCCGCAACAAGAATTAGTTTGACTCCCTTAATTCCCTATTTAGGCAACGTGTGTGCGTATTGCGTAAATTTTACAATGGCATACAAAAAAATGTTACCCATAGTAACAAAGCCACTGCCTTATTTTTAATGATGGTTATGAGAGTAAAGCTTTTTTTTTTTCGGTGGTGTGAAAAAAAAAATGGACAGCCACTGGCCTAAAGCATTCAAATGCAAAGAAGCTGGGCTGAAAGAGCTAAAAACTGCAGCTCGAAGACGATAAAATTCTGAGATTGTGTCCCACAACTTGTCATACTCTGCTCTCTTTCAGTTGCAACGTAACGCCACACTCAACAAGTATGTCCAAGTGATTGGACTGCCCAAGAGGAGGAAGACGTTGCGAGACAATACAAGATGTATTGTTGCTGGCTGGGGCCAAACTGTAGGTGGAAAAAACCAGCCCGGGACTACTTCAGATGTACTGAAGGAGACCATCGAGAAGACACAATCCCCCTTTGAATGCAAAGAAGTTTGGCAGCACTATTTTCAGTCGGATCACATGATGTGCACCAGGCCTGAAAAGAAAGGAGGGGTTTGTTGGGTAATGCAGACGTCAATTATAAACCACAACCTGGGCTCATGCATCACTTTATACTGTTTAATCACCAACAAAGCATATGTCTAATCCGTTCAAGGGGGATTCTGGAGGACCAATAATCTGCGACACCGATCTTCAAGGAATAACAGCCTTCGTTTACCTGGACGACTGCAGTGATCGCAAGATTCCGCATGTCTTCACTGAAATCCACCCCTTCCTCACCTGGATTAAGAAAGTGATGCGGAGGAATGTTGCAGCATGAGCCCACCGCAGTATTTGTTCATTTGTTCAATGCTGAGTAGATGACATGTAGACGTAACAGCTCTTAGTTCTTAGAAAAGAAGCAGAGCAGGTACTGTTCATTCAGAAGGAGTGCACACAACTCCTAGGATTGTCTGCGCCACCTGTATTCAATACTGTACTGCATAAAGATAAATGGAAGGCAAGATAAAAGCACATGACTTGAGTGTGCTTTGTCAGCTGTGTGGCCTCACATATATGTCTGCTTTGCCGATTCTTCTTCCTTCAGCTGCCCTTTGTCAAGGGAAACATTAATATTCTCAGAAGCGTGGGCCACCCAGTGAATGAGTGGTTAGCGTGTTTGCTTCACAGTTCAGAGGTGCAGGGTTCGATTCCAGCTCCGGCCTTCCTGTTTGAAGTTTACTTGTTCTCCCCGTGCCTGTGTGGGTTTTCTTCGGGTACTCCGGTTTCCTCCCACATTCCAAAAACATGCATGGCAGGCTGATTGAACACTCTAAATTGTCCCGAGGTGTGAGTGTGCGTGCGGATGCTTGTTCGTCTATGTGTGCCCTGCAATTGGCTGGCAAGCGGTTCACGGTGTCCCCCGCCTACTGCCCGAAGGCAGCTAGGAAAGACTCCAGCACCCCTCGCGAGCCTTGTGATGATAAAGCGGATCGGAAGATGGATGGATGGATGGAAATCCTCAGATTAATTGTCTCTGTCAAAATATGAACTACAATTGTTTTAAGAATATTTTAATAGTTTTTCAAAATTAGTAGATGGGTGATTTATCTACATTCAATGATTCTGAGAAGAGGAAAGTGTGTTTTGCATAGTCTTCAACTATAACAATTATTTCCTGACAAAAAGGTTTGAATTTAAAAATTGGCTGTACTATGTTTATTTTTGGGATTATTATTATACATTTAAAATGATTTTAAATCATCAAAATAAATGTGCCATTCAAGGACATTTCTTTTAAATTATATGAACAAAAATAGTCTCTGGTTTGACTTGGTTTATTGAACACGTATTGAAAAGAAGACATTTTCAATAGCTTTAGCATTGATCACAAGACAGTATGCATGTTTGACTGGTTTACACAGGACTTTAATAAAAATGAATGGTTCCATTGTAAATGAATAAATGTACAAAGAATAAACAAAAGTGAAAATGCATTTAACGGCAATTGCAAGACAAGTCTGGGGGAAATCCACATTTGTAAAAGCCAGACCACACACCGCATTTAGTCATAGTGCAAACTCTTGAAGTTGAAGCGCTTTCGGTCTGTGAAGCCTGTCATCTGCAGAGACACATAACATTCGTTTATACTTAAAGGCATGAGAAGGACATTTTTGCGAAGCTAAACAATATTTGCACAATAGCGGAACGACAACTTTTTTTTAAGCAAACAGAAATAAAGGCACAACTCACCTGACTTGAATCTCTTGTGAAGTATCTTTTTTCAATCACCTGTTTGGAAATACAGCATATAAGATCATCACGTTTTAAATGGACCGGGTTTCTGACATCTGCATAACATGCGACCCCACAGAGCATCATTGCTGAAATGATTTTTGTCAACATTTAATTCTTGTATGGGGATTTGCACCCCCTTATGGAGTTACCCTCTGTAGAAGAAATGCATTTTCAAAGTCCCCCCCCCCCCCCCACACACACACACACACACACACACACACACACACACACACACACTTGAGGTCAACAATGTCCTAGAGATGCACAGTCAAACATCGAAAACATTTTAGGATGCTCACACATACAAGTAAAGCCCCGTAAGTCATTTGGAGTTCAACCGACATTGTTTGAAAAAATATGCCTCAAAAGTTAGTTAAATTAATTCTCTTTCCTCTATTTATGTGCTTTTCCAAAAGTGCTTGTCCTTATTAGGGTTTCAAGCTAGCTGGAACCCATGGAAATTAGGTCATTACTGAAGGCATAGAATCCAAATTTATTGCAATTTTCCGATTAAAACATCTAAAATATAATACATATATTTTAGGACCAATTAGGACCGGTGCTCTAGTTTAGATGATCAATTGATGAAGATTAAATAAGTTTTAGTCCATGTCAACAAGTGCTGTGTGTCTCAGTCCATTTTACCTTGTCAAAGAATCTGCTAAGCTTCACTGCATTGGACGTGCCTGCGGCCAAGTATCTTAGATTAGTGCAGTCCTGTAGAAACAAAGCACATTTTTCAGACACAAACCCTTTGAGATGGTGGATCTGGTTGATCTACGAACATAAGGGATGCTATTATCTGTCGTTGGATTCTGAACGTTTACCATGCACGAACCACTAGAGGTCACCATAGTTCTTGAGTTGTCAGTATGTAGATTCAGTAGCGAGCTATTGCAGCTCTAAAAACAATTTTAGTAATAAATAAAATAAAAAAAAGGTTGACATACGAGATTGATCTCCTCCGCGTTGAAGTCTTCAGACAAGAAGGCCGTCCGCGTGAGAACTTCACTCCGCTTGTTCTCAGGAATCTGGTCAAACTTAGTGCCGATGAGAAGCAATGGCACTGGGTTCTCTGCAAACTGCTCACGGTCATAGTCACTGCAAGAAATAGAGAATGCAGTATCACTCTCTACTCATAGATAACTAAAAATATACATCACCTAAGGTTGATACTGAACAAAAAAAAAAAACATACCCATTCGAGACAATGACCCCAGTTGGAGAGGAATCCTTGTTTAAAGCTTCCAGTGACCAGCGATAGAGATTCTGAGAGGATTTCTTATTTGTCAGATCGTGCACCAAAATAATTCCTGAAAAGATAAGATTGGTGAAACTAACAAAGGACAGGTAAGCTCTATGTGGCCAACAAATACTGTAGTGGCAGGGACACAACTCTACCGTTGACTGAATTGTAAAACACAGCTCGTGTGCTTTTGATACTGCTGGCACTGCCGACAGAGCCCCCAACATCCCATAGTTCAATGTAGTACGTCTTCTCCTCTGGGGTTCCCTCTTTATAGTCTTGGACCTGGAAAAACACATACAATGCACCATGGTCGATTACATAAGCCACCAGCATTATTGGTTATATAATTAAATGTACACTTACCCGTACATCTACTGAGCATCCAACAGTCCATGATGGATTTCCTAAAACCTGATTCTGGCACAAAAGATGTACTAAGGAGGATTTACCTACACCTGTGGACAGACAGAGCAGCAAGTAAAACACTGAGAATTTGAATGGAATGCAATAACTCCTTGAATATTAACAACACTTATATGGAGCCAAGTTGTAGTTTGTATCATTATTTAAGTTAATAGAAAATATAGTGATAACCACAGCATTGGGGAAAAAATCGAATACGCATCCAAGGTTTGGAATGTTCTAATTAAACACGTTAAGCCTCCAGCCTCACTTGCCTTGTATATAAACAAACCAGTATAACAAGGCTACATCATGCAAAGCTATGGAAGTTTATAAATTGCCGCACAACAGTTTACTTTGGAGAAAGGCATGATAAGATGTATAAGTACATTGTCTTGAAGACTATGCTATTCAAAAAGGACGTACTTACCGGAGTCGCCTAAAACTAGCACCTTAACTCTGTCAAGTGAAGCCATGACGTGACAAGAGTAGCAGACAGTGCCGTCCCGGAAGAAAACATCATAAGACCCGCCCATGTTTAATGTACTTCAATACTATTGGTCATTTACGAACTATCGTCTCAACATTGTACATTCTTATTGGGTACAAGTGCCCCAATCAGCCAGTGGAAATTTGCGAAAAATTGTCGTGCTTCAGTTTTGCGTTTTCTTTCCGGAGTAGTTGCTGAAATTCAGCCAGGAAGCATGCTAGCAAACTTCGCCGGTGATCAATTTAAAACCTAGTGTTTCCCGTGGTTTTTTTTTCGGAAGATGTGTTTTCCCTGAAGAGAGAAAGGGGGCAGAGGACGGATTTTGTGTCCCTTCTGCGTATAACGGAGAAGCACGTAAGTTGAACTCATGAGCAAACTATCAGCATGTTTTCCACTTGGCTGCTATCTTTTAACATCGTTTAATTTCCCTTATCGTCCGAATGTAAATTACCTTAATAGTGTGTTTATCTAAAACATTTGCAGCGGTACATAGTTTTGTAACAAATGAAAAAACAACTCGAACTCTTGCAAGTTACTACAATCAGAATAATGGCTCCTCATAGTGGACAACACAGTTTGGGTATTGTAAATCAGGGGTCCCCAACCGCCGGTCCGCGGACCGGTACCGGTCCGCAGGGCATTTGGTACCGGGCCGCACAGAAAGAACTTGCCTTAATTCCGTTTTATTTCGGAATACGAAAGATGTTTTATTTTGAAAAATTACCGGATTCTCCGTTACATCCGTCTGTGTCACGCTTGACACACGTCAAGCCACGCTTTCCCCCGTCACGTGACCGATTCCGCTTAAAAACAAAACACCAGAGCTCGCAAAATGAGTAAAAAAACTGCTGGAGATCAAATGACAGCGGCCTTAAAAGTACGTTCGAAACAACTGGATTAAAGTTATGGCTGAATATTCTGAGATCACCACAGAAGGACTGTTGCTATTTCCGACATGCTACCTGTGTGAGGCGGGGCTTTTCTGCAGCAACGGCGACTAAAACAAAATTACGAAGTAGACTTGACGCAAAACACACACTTGAGGTGTCATTGTCTCCTATTACCCCGAGATGGGACCGTCTGGTTGCAGAAAATCAAGCTCGGGGCTGTGGTGAGTGGTCATTTTCATGCACTTTGAATTTGCATTGCATCGTATTTTGAAGGCATTAAACATTACCATAGCGATCAGAGTGTTGCGGCCAGATTAGACGCTCCTTGTGTTTATTATTATATTTCGAAAACACCACAGTTTTCATGCAGCTCATACCATATTATTTTGTTGTATTATTTCCGCCACACCTTAATTGCCGGTCCCTGAAAATATTGTCTGACATAAACCGGTCCGTGGGGCAAAAAAGGTTGGGGACCCCTGTTGTAAATCATTTGGGTGATTAGTTCTAACGAGGATACATGTACTGATAAGCATACGTTGTAAGATATTACTAATGCTTACATTTATTTGAGAAAAAAAATTAAACATTATGGCATCAAATGAAGAATAGAAAGATAATTTCCGCCCCAAATCATTTGCACCACCTTCCCCCACAGTACAAGATGATAGAACCAGAACTCCTGACCGA